GCTGCCATTGACTCTGACTGCGCCTGCGCGGGGCAAAGAGGCGGGAAAAACCGCGGGGTCACGTGAGCGCCTTCTGTGCGCGTGACTTTCTGACATGGTGACGTAACCGGTTTAAAGTGGTTTGTACTGGTTTACACTGGTTTATACAGGTTTAAACTGGTTTATGCTGGTTTGCACTGGTTTGTATTAGCGCATACTGGTTTGAACTGGTTTACACTGGTTTATACTGGTTTGTATTGGTTCATACTGGTTTGAACTGGTTTACACTGGTTTATACTGGTTTGTATTGGCTCATACTGGTTTAAACTGGTTTACACTGGTTTATACTGGTTTGTATTAGCTCATACTGGTTTGTACTGGTTTATACTGGTTTGTATTGGCTCGTACTGGTTTGTATCAGTTCATACTGGTCTATACTGGTTTATACTGGTTTGTATTGGCTTGTACTGGTTTACACTGGTTTATACCGGCTTATGCTGGTTTGTACCGGTTCATACTGGTTTGTACTGGTTTACCCTGGTTTATACAGGTTTAAACTGGTTTATGCTGGTTTGCACTGGTTTGTATTAGCTCATACTGGTTTGAACTGGTTTACACTGGTTTGTATTGGCTCATACTGGTTTACGCTGGTTTATACTGGTTTGTATTAGCTCATACTGGTTTGAACTGGTTTACACTGGTTTGTATTAGCTCATACTGGTTTGAACTGGTTTACACTGGTTTGTATTGGCTCATACTGGTTTACGCTGGTTTATACTGGATTAAGCTGGTTTATGCTGGTTTGTTCTGGTTTCCACTGGTTTGCGTTAGTTTGTACTGATTTAAACTGGTTTATACTGGTTTGTACTGGTCCATCCCAGTGTCTGTTTGTCCATTCCTGTGTCCATCCCTGTGTCCGTCCTTGTGTCCATCCCTGTGTCCGTTTGTCCATCCCTGTGTCCATGTCCCACCCCCATGTCCATCTGTCCAGCCCTGAGTCCATCCTTGTGTCCATCTGTCCATCCCTGTGTCCATCCCTTTGTCTGTGTCCATCCCAGTGTCCGTTTGTCCATCCCTGTGTCCGTTTGTCCATCCCTGTGTCTATCCCAGTGTCCATTTGTCCCTGTGTCCATCTGTCCATCCCCGTGTCCGTTTGTCCATCCCTGTGTCCATCTGTGTCCATCCCTGTGTCCATCTGTCCACCCCAATGTCCATCCCTGTGTCCGTTTGTCCATCCCCGTGTCCATCCCCGTGTCCGTTTGTCCATCCCCGTGTCCCCCTGGAGGAGCGGGGGAAGTTTCGTGGAGTTTGGGGTGGATTTGGGGGAGTTTTGAGGGAATTTGAGGAGTTTTGGGTGGAATTTGAGGAGTTTTGGGGAATTCCATGCAGATTTTGGGGAGTTTTGGGTGGATTTTGAGGAGTTTTGGGTGGATTTTGAGGAATTCTGTGCAGATTTTGGGGAGTTTTGGGTGGATTTTGGGGAGTTTCGGGCCGATTTTAAGGAGTTTTGGGTGGATTTTGAGGAATTTTGGGGAATTCCATGCGTGTTTTGGGGAGTTTTGGGTGAATTTTGGGGAATTTTGGGTTTCTTTCCCCCTGGAAACGATTCCCGAATTTCCCAAAGCCCCGGGAGCGGCCGGAGCCGGGCGGTGCCACCGGGACGGGGAAGTGACGTCACCGAATTCCAGAAAATTCCAGAAAATTTAAAAAAAAAAATCCAGAAAATAAATAAAAAAAAATAATAAAAAAAAATAATAAAAATCAAAAAAATTCCAGAAAATTCCAAAAAATTTCCAGAAAATTCAAAAAAATTCCAAAAATGGTTTTAATTGTCACTCAGTCACCGACTCCCAGTATCCCCCAGTACTCCCAGTGCCCCCAGTTCCCATTCCCAGCGCTCCCAGCGCTCCCAGTGCTCCCAGTGCTCCCAGTATCCCCAGTTACCCATTCCCAGTATCCCCAGTACCCCCAGTTACCCATTCCCAGTGCTCCCAGTTACCCATTCCCAGTGCCCCCAGTACCCCCAGTTACCCATTCCCAGTATCCCCAGTACCCCCAGTTACCCATTCCCAGTGCTCCCAGTTACCCATTCCCAGTGCTCCCAGTGCTCCCAGTTACCCATTCCCAGTGCTCCCAGTACCCCCAGTTACCCATTCCCAGTGCTCCCAGTACCCCCAGTTACCCATTCCCAGTGCCCCCAGTATCCCCAGTTACCCATTCCCAGTGCTCCCAGTTCCCCCAGTCACCCATTCCCAGTTCCCCCAGTACACCCGGCGTACACCCGGTAGCGGTGGTTGAGCCGGGGGTGCCCGTGGATGCCGTAGCGCGTCCCCAGCGCTCCCAGTTACCCATTCCCAGCACTCCCAGTGCTCCCAGTTACCCATTCCCAGTGCTCCCAGTGCCCCCAGTATCCCCAGTTACCCATTCCCCCAGTACACCCGGCGTACACCCGGTAGCGGTGGTTGAGCCGGGGGTGCCCGTGGATGCCGTAGCGCGTCCCCAGCGCTCCCAGTGCCCCCAGTTACCCATTCCCAGTGCTCCCAGTATCCCCAGTTCCCATTCCCAGTACCCCCAGTATCCCCAGTTCCCTAGTACACCCGGCGTACACCCGGTAGCGGTGGTTGAGCCGGGGGTGCCCGTGGATGCCGTAGCGCGTCCCCAGCGCTCCCTGGGCGCGGCTGCTGCCGTAGAAGACGCGGCGCACGCGGGCGTGCAGCAGCGCCATGGCGCACAGCGCGCACGGCTCCCGCGTCACGAACACGTCGCAGCCGCGCAGCAGGTAACCCCCCGTGACGTCATCGCCGGCGACGTCGTCGCCGGCGGCGGTGACGTCATCGGCGGCGCCCACCTCGGCCGCCCCCGGGATCACGTGACCCGTCAGGTCCAGGGGGACGGCGCCCAGGGAGGCGGCGAAGTCGTCGAGACGGCGGATGACGTCATCGTGACACCTTGTGACGTCATCGTGAGCCCCTCTGACGTCATCATTACACCTCATGGCGTCATCGTGACCCCTTATGGCGTCATCATTACCAGCAATGACGTCATCGCGACCCCTTACAACATCGCTGTGACCTCTTATGACGTCATCGCGACCCCTTATGACGTCATCGTGACCCCTTGTGACATCACTGCGATCACTCATGACACCGTCATGATCCCTCATGACGTCACCATGACTACTTATGACATCATTAACCGTTATGACATCATCATGATGGTTTATGATGTCATCGTGACCCCTTATTATGTCACTGTGACTGGCGATGACGTCATTGTGATGGCGTATGATGGCGCCGGTGGCAGTGGTAACGTCATTGCGGTCGCCGATGACGTCATCACCCCCAAACCTGGCGACCTTGGCCCCGACGCCGCCGTCATCGTCCCCGGGGTGTCCCCGCCGCCGCCGTGCCCTCCCCACCGTGACGTCACCGTCCTCGGTGATGACGTCACCGCGCTGTCCCTGACCACGTGATGCCCTCCCCGTGACATCATCACCCCTCCCCATGACGTCACCACCTCTACCCACGACATCACCCCCGCTCCCGGTGATGTCACCGCCCCTCCCGATGACATCATTCCCACTCCTGGTGATGTCACCGCTCCTCCCAATGACATCATTCCCACTCCTGGTGACGTCACTGCCCCTCCCAGTGATGTCACCACCACTCCCGGTGACATCACTGCCCCTCCCAATGACATCATTC